TTTAGAGGCCTGCAAAAGATATCCACATAGAGGTGAATCCAAAAACTCATTAAGCTCCTTATACGTAGTGTAATATATTTACTGTCCTGAGAAACTAACCTGGAAGTGCCTCATGTGCAGTATTGGTTCGCACCCAACATCCGCTACTGACTTCCCATTGGGAGTTTGAAGTTTGAATCGGCTGGCCTCATATGCGGAAAGGGTATTATTTGTCCCGGCAGGCAGGTGGTGGCAAACTTTCAGGAGGGAGGTGAGAGAATTCATCTGACAGTTTACACGAAAGGCTAAGTGAGAAACCTTAGCTCAAGCATGTCCTAATCATCAACTTGAATTTTTTTTTTTTATCTATACTGATTTAATTTGTAATAAGAATTGCCATGACAAACTGTTACAGAAGAGAACCCGGTATTAACTATTCTTGCAACCATACTTTTCTGAGAATATCCTTGACTCCTACCAATACTTGTAAAAAATATTTTCAGATGTCTTCCAGGATTTCATCAGCCAATTACACGGTTATGTAACAATACAACAAGCACGCATCATAAAAAGAGAAGACCCTGCGTTGAGCATTGCCCCTGTTATGAGGGACCTGAATACTACGCCAAGGCTAGTGTTCGTTTTGAGATACATTACAGTCTGCAGATGCTACAGCCAATGTAACACACATGCATGTACCATATTTAGACGCGTTAGACTGGATAATTTTGTAACAGTTTGGTTATCTCAGACATATAGCATGGTGGAATATTTAAGAACATATTAACCTTTGTAAACTTATCGAAGTCAAACTCAAAATAGGAATGCTAACCTTCATGTATGGGCAGGATGCACAGCCGCCATTGATGGAACATCCCTCCCCACTGGAAACTCCAGGTATAACAGGTAGTATGACATCGCCTAGTTTTACAGAGTTAAGGCCTGGGGAAGAACTTGATGTTGTCACTGAATCTGATGAAACTGGAAATACAATTTCTACATTAATTTCTGCTCCTCCAGATCTTGCAGAACCTAACAAACTACGAACTGCTGCAACAATTGAAGTCACCATTCCGGATTCCGTTCCTAACACAAACTTAAGGTGCTCACTGACATTTCTATCCAAAGCCTCTTGAATCCTCTGTTTTATGAAATCTAGTATGTTCTGGGTAGAACCCACAACCCCCATTCCTCTTCTCTTTGCTTCCATTGCCAATGAGAACATCTCTCCTGGGACCTCAAAATGGGCAGTTAGATATGCATCACAGTACATTTCTTTTATCCTGTCGACAACTTCATTTCCAAATAAATGATGCACTATGCATGTCCCCTCCTGATACAATAGAGAAATAAGTAGTGAGAGGTCCATCATCCGAAAATGCAAGGAAAACTGATTTCCGACGCTATGAAATGAATTTATGAATAGCACTAAAACAAGCCATGAAAGTACACGTACCTGAAAATAATGTAGGCGAGGTAGCAAAGATCCGATTGTGTCTCTATTATGTTCTGGATGTATCTCAGCAATTTCTTCATTAGTCATCTTAGTCATCTGCTGGAGTAATTCTCTAATATTTGCACCCATGTAGGAATCAGGTCCGTACCATATGTTTGCATCTGGCACTTGAACAAAAGCCTGCAGAAGACAAGGAACTCGAAGTTAGCGAAAGTACAATAGCCAAAAGAAAAAAAAAATTGAGTGCCAGTTGCATTTGGAAAGAGACATTGGGAATTCCAAAACAATTAAGATAAATGGTTCTGATCCCACCAACCTGCAAAATGGTTTGGACAACATTTGAAGATGTGCACGTAATTGTTGGCACAACCTCATGAGCATATGCTTTTGTTTCTAGAGAAGTATTAATGTAGACAACATGCAACGAATGTGGAGACCTAGAAGCTGCCTCAAGATAGCTCATGTACGAAGGACTAGATGCAGCATCTGCCAATGAACAACCAATACGTTCATTTGACATCCTGTACACACCAACCTGCAATCAAAGTATATGAAATGAATATATTCATCAACTGTGTCACCAGTATGCGGCGCCAAACCAAGATCCAGTTAACTTTACTATAATTAAGGCATACTACATCGTAAATAGGGGAGCCAAACCAACATAATAAGTACAGTACATGTTTTACATTTCTTACTAATACATGAATAGAAGCAAAGGAGCTACCTTTTCAAAGCCAGCCTGATCAAGTATAGCCCGGACATTTTCCGACATAAAATCAACACCCAACACTGTAATGTATTCGCAACCAGCTTTCGCCATATTCACAGCGGAATCCGCCATGACCAATGAATCAGATATATGGATGTGAGGCCAATGTTTCTGTGCAGCAGTTAAAATACCTTGAACCTCTGGGTCCATGTAAAAATGTGCAACAACCCCAATTTTCTTTTCCTTCAACACATTAATAAGTTCCTCAACCTTCGATTCATTGGGAAACAAGTACCTCGCCTGCAATTTAATATGCAGATCCAACTTAGGTTACAATTAAAAAATAATAATACATACACTAATCTAATACAAATGGTAACGACAACTTTGGAACTGCTTTTGAATGGCTAAAAGTGATTTATGACAAACAAAAGCGCTTCTAACTACATTTAGCAAAAACATAAATGGTACTGGGTCATAAAAGCATTTTCGGATACGCACTTCGTAGTGCACTTTAATTCTAAGAAAAGCACTTCTAATAGTACTTACGCGCTCTACGCAATATAATCATATAAATCAACCAGAAACACAATCCAATAGCTAACCTGGGCCTCAGCGAAGCTGCCCTTTGCCTGAATCCCATCGGCGGTGACGACGAGCGACGGGAAAGGCTCGAACGGCGGCGTACCATGCCGCTGGGCGACCAAAGCCTTAGTCTTTTTCTGCATAGTGACCAGCACATTATGCCACGTGTTAACCCTAGACCTCTGCGCGCCCGACAATCCCACATTGAGCGACGACAAGTCGTCGGTCTTGACCCCCAACACCTCCTCCGGCGATGCGCCGTCGAGCACCGAAACCAGGCACGAGCAGAACCCCCTGGTGATCTCGGAATCGCTGTCCGCCGCGAATCTCATCTTGCCCTCCTCGTCCATATCGGCCTGCAGCCACACCCGGGCCGTGCAGCCCATGACCCGGTTGGAATCGACCCGAGCCGAATCATCAAACGGTGGGAGGAGAGCCGCGTAGTGCAACAAGCGTTTAACTCTATCGATCGGCTCGGCTAGAGATTGGAACTCGGAGATCAAAGTTTGGAGCTTTAAAGGGACGAGCTCGGCTGTTTGGGACGAGGTGGAGGGTGAGAGGGTGAGGGCGGAGCAGGAGAAGGGGGAGGCGGAGATAGGGTTTTGGGGAGGCGGCGGCGGATGCTTTAATGGGTTGGGATTGGAAGACGGCGGCGTTTGGATGCATTTGAGGGATTTGAAGAGGGTGGGCTGGGGAGGAGGCCGGAAAGTGGTGAACTTGAAAGGGAGTGACTTGTTGGGCTTGAAAGAAGCGGAGGACGATGAGGAGGAGGAAGAGGAGGAGACTCTCAGCGCCATGGTTGTTGCAGAAGAAGCATCCATTGGGGAGGAGAGAGAGAGGGAGAGAGGGGGTTAAAGGTGGAGGCTTTGATTGAGTGGTGGAGGCAGAGGCAGAAAGCAGAGGCTTTAAATGGATTTTGCTGCTTCCATGAACTTTGCCATAAAATTGAAAGTTTATGTAAAAAGGGAATTTAGCCAACCAACAAGGCAAGAACCAACCAATCTATATAAAACTAGGCGCCAATTTATTAAAATAAGGAAACTAATAGGATATCGCAGCCCATCCTTTGAACTATTGGGTCCACAAGATCAACATGGAAGACAAAACAAAATTGGGGAAGTTGACTCATCAGTTTTAGGATGATCAAATTTGGGTATCCCACTAGTGGAAGAGCTACTTGTAATTTCCTTCAGTGTGATATTATATGCTTAGTACAACACATTACGTAATGGTAAATTTGAAAACGATATCTGGGGAATAGTTTTCAATTGAGTTTATCAAAAGAAAATCGAACGAGATAGATAAGAAAAAACCATGACCATAAAAAAAAATGAGAAAATTGAAATAAAAAAAGACGATAATAAATATAAGAAGGGTGATGCACTTTTTCACAATTGCAGTGGTGTAAGTGATGCAACTTTTGCTATCATTCACCACCAAATCATGAATGATCTCCACCAAACAATTTCTTGGCTCTTTCCACTACAAAATGGAAGAAATGTGTGGCTTGTAAGCAATTTCCTGGCTCTTTCCACACAAGACAAGAAAAGTGTAGTGTCCAAGTGGCCAAGTAACCAAAGGTGGAAGAAGTAGAAAAAGTTGATGGACAAGTAACCAAAGTCTCATTGTGCCCCACATCAAATGCACTTTTCTTACCCCTTCCATACAAGTAAGGGGTGGCGGAGGTCCGTTTGGGTTCTTCCATCTTTAGTCTAAAGTACGAAATAGAAAAAAGCAAAAATGGTAGGAGAAATTCTTCCATACGATGTCTTGTAAGCGACTGCGGCGGTTCTTTCACAATAGGACTGGGCTGCGGCGTACCGTGTACGACAGTGATATGGAACCATGTTTGTGCGTAACAATGGAGATAGCCAAGTCCAGGTGATTTCTTCTTGTGCATGATTTAATTTGGTTAGGAATTATGGACCGATATATAATTAGAAAAACTAATGAAAAATGTTTGAAAACTTTAAGTTTTAACAATAAGAACAAAATAAAAAGTAAAGTTAATCGTACCAAGATTGACTTTTTAGTGTAAAAATATGATTTTTTGTTAAAATGAACAGTACCGAGAGCTTTTCGTTAAAGTTCTCATAATTATTTGCCATAGTCTTCCAACAACAAATCTCGTTGAAGAGTTGAGTGAAAGGAACATTGTCATATTGTAGGGATTCATGAGCTTTATTTTATCAAAAGTGTTGAAAATTTTATCATGTTTCAGTACATGACGTGCATTGAATAACGAAGAATTTGATGTACAGATAAGAATCTAGTGACAAAAAATCCAAAAATAAAATATCTCGATGCATACTATGCTTTGATGTGTACCAGAAAACCTAAGAAGTATAATATCATTATGTAATTTAATGAAAACACTGAGAAGCCAAATTCAGTTAGAATTGTTGTCAGTATGTTGTTTTGTAATCTTGACATTTGTTTTGTATGTGCGTGGCTTTGTCTGTCTTTGTCAGTATCAAGCCTCGTACAAAATTCATGGAAAATTCAAATGCAGAATCTGCATCTTCCACAGTAACAAATCCCAAAAGTGATTCCTTGTATTGATAGTGTTGGCCTTTGAAATCATTCAGGCTGTCCACAAGCCTCTCTGCTAGAAACTCCTCTGGCCTCTCCCAAATTTTGTGGTCTTTGTGGATTTCCCATGCATTCACATACACTCTTGTTTTCGGAACAAGAAAAATTGCCCGCGCTTCGCTGCGGATTTTGAAACTATTATCCATAATGGGCATGAATAATTTGCACAAGAAGATGCATTACAAAGGCGACACGAATGGAATCACATCCTAAAATGAACCAATGCATATGAACAAATTCCACCAGAGTAAATCCAACAAAATCACAAATCAATACAGGCATCTTAAAGAATTCAAATAACCAAGAGATATGTGAAGAAAGCTGATAAGAAACCAAACAGTGTGCAAAATTCAAATTCAACCTCAGCACAACACACACACACACACACACCAAATTCAGATTTGGAAAAACCCGGAATTCCCCAAAAGGCCACCACATTTTGAGATCGACTTCCAAAATTCAAAAACACACTCAACATGCAATCAGTGAAATCAATCAATCTGGTTCAAAGAACCGCTTCCCACAACCACTTCGAAAATCAGCAAAATGAAAACAAAAATTTAAAGCTATGTCTCAAAACATTAACTCCAAAATTTATACAACTTCACTCTTCATAAGTTTAAGAATTGAGGATTACAAATGCCAGAGTATGTTGCCGATCCTTAATTAACAAAAATTGTAATAGCTCTCGGCAGCTATTCTTACCCTTTTGCAGCAGCCTTCTGTAGTACTCTCATTTTTTTCTCAAGCATTTCGATCATCCGGCAAACATTTATCAAAACTGATTCAGATATAAATTTAATTGTATCAACCAACTCAAAGAAAACATAAAAGAACTACACAACGAAGAAACATTTCAACTTCCACCACAACCTCTCAAACTAAATTCTAAACTACCCACAAACCTAAAAAGAATCATCAAGATACCGAAATTTTGAAACACAGTAAATTTGGCAAATTTCCAAAACCCATGTCTATATCAATCTTTGCATGCACACAAATCAGGTGAGAACATGTGAAGACTATATATTTCAATTAAGTTTATCTATATGGAGCAAAACAAAACAACCGAAATTGGTGAGCACATGAGTGGAGAAAACAGAAAGGATCACAGTCCATTTATATGAAGGGTTTGAAGATTTAGTACAGGGAACAGTTGGCTAGCAGGTTATAGAGTCCATGAATACAATTAGAGCCCTTTGAATTTCTTTGCAAGAGAAGATTTATATGGAAAAACAACATCAAAATACAAATATGAAGGAAATTTGAGGTTTGTAGTTCTTCTAATCAATCAATTTTTTACTACCGAAACAATTGAATAGTAAGAGAGCTTTAGATAATACTATACAGTATTTATAAGGAAACGATCTTCCTCAATCTACAACTGCATCTCATTGCAGGACTATAGAAGAATATTTTAAAAACCTTAATGGGGCATGTACCTATTATAGACATCTGGGGGTTCAACACAATTCAAAAATATTGCAAGGACTACCAATAGTAAAGCAGAACTCAATCGTCAAGACAGAATGGAGACAGAGAAAATACGCCAAAACAAATAAAGAAAGTAAGTGCAAAGCTTACAGAAGGGGACTTGAATGATCTTTATGGACCACAGTTTGTAAAATCGTTAAAGATTATCGCTGGAAGATGGGAATTGTTCTCCATTGGACCTAAGGATCATACACCCAACATCAAACACCTCATCATGAACAAACCAAACTAAACTTTCATTCAATTAAGTCTCAAACACTTTAATTAAGTTAAAAAGAATAGTCCAATTCTACCAAAACTATATACAGAAACCCAGAAAAACGGAACAAACAGTGGTGCAAAGGTGTATAATGACACTAAATCTTCAAATGACATTAAAAAAAATAAATACCCAAACCAATATAAAAGGCAAAGTCATCCTTAGCAACTGTAAAATAACAATTAAAAAACGAAACCCATGTAAGTTCACAACAAATTAAAACGCCTAGATCAACATTAACATAAAATTAGCCACAAACCTAGAGAAACCAACACTAAATTAGACTAAACTAATAAGACATAAGCTTCAAATCAAATTCCAAATAAAAAATTTGGATAAAACCAACAACAAACCACACCTTGTTCCTGTTCTGTCTCCCTTCTCTTGCTTTTCTCTTTTGCCTACTCCCCACATTAAGCCCTTTTATCCTCATTTTTTCTCTTTTGGCTGCTCACTTAACCCCCATTTTTTTCTCTCTTTACTTTCCTCGATTTCCAGTCCCCCCTTTCTTCCACATCTATCTTTTTTTCCTCATTTTTTCCATCAATACTCTTGACACTAATTCTCCATTCTTTTTTATCTCTTAATTATTTCACTCAATCAAAACATGGGATCACATTTTCTCAAGCAGCCCCAAAAAACTGACCAACCCAAAATCAGAAAAACATCCAAACTAAAACATACAATCACCTTTGTCCAGCAGCAAACGATAAATTAGAAATACAAAATAAAGGAAAAAAAAAAACAGAAACCGCAAAAACCCAAATGCAAAAGGAAACAAAAGGGTGTTGCTTTGAATGTAAACGGGGAAATACCTGAGCATCAGAAGAAGAGGACTTATCATTTTCTTCATTTGGAAGCGACATGACTCTGCTAAATGGGATTATAAACCTACCCAAAATACATAAAATTTATTAGAATTCATCGCCAAACAAAAGAAGAAATCATTTTTCAAAAGCAAATTTGATATTAAATCAAGAATTTAAGAGTATATGCATATCAGCTCAGAATTTATAAGTATACACATCGTGTAATTGAATTTATTGAACTGAGAGAGGGAGAGAGAGAGAGATGAAATTACTTGCCTTAAGTGGGGAGGGTTTAACAAAACACCGCCTTTGGAGACCCAGCCTTTGAGCGGCTGCGGCGCCTGGTGTGGCTGTGCGAGACAGAGAGACAGAGTTTGAGAAGTAGCGATTAATTTTTTGCATGAGAGAAACGGAATAAAGTAGAAGACTCGAGAAGAGGCATCTTCAACGATGATGAACGCTCTATAAACAAAATCCCCAAAATCATAAAAAGGAAATTGAACACAAAATTCATTTGTAAATCCAAAATCACAAAAAAGAAATTCAAACAAAACAAAAAGGAAATTAAGAGAGAAATGGAGAAGAGAGAGAGAGAGAGAGATCGGAGTACCGTTAGTTAAAGAGTAGACGACGTCGGTTCTCCGAGTACTGTAATTCCTGAAGATCTCTTCCGCCGTTGGCGGACTCGAGCGCATCTCCCTGCTCCTCTCCTTCATCTCACCGAAGCTCTCAAGTTACAGAAATGGATGCCAGTTTGTGTGGTTTTGGTTTTAGGAAGCAGGAGCCGATGCTATTCCAGATATGGAGTTGTGGCTGCTAGGGTATAAGAAGGACAGAAACAGGAAGAGTGAGAGATGAGAGAGGGCTCCCCGTAGAAAGAGATGAGAGGAGAGCGCATGCATGTAACCCATCAATCCATGCTAAACCAAAAGTATAAAATTACCCTCTGAACTTTTAAGAATTACCCTTCGAACCCAGCCCATTTGGATGATATTGTTGTAAATAACATGAAATCGAGTGGCTTCGTGCTAAACCATATGGTTAAAATCACCCTCTGAACTTTTGAGAATTACCCTCCCAACTCAGCCTAATTTGGTTGGCTTTGTTGTAAATAAAGTGAAATCGTGTGCCAAACAATTGACTGTAGACATGAATAGTGCCAATTCCCCTCCAACTTTAGAATATATAATGTCGTAGCCTTGCAGAGGCTGATGACTGTCTAAGGATCAAGAAAGGAGCTGGTGGATGGGGTCTTGCAGTCTCTTCAATGACACATTTCAAGTATTCCATTTGATGGATGTGTTGTGATACTGCATCTACTGATGCTGCATGTGGAGTCTACTACCAAGGTGACGTCTAGTGTAAATCTCTAGGGTAAGGCTCATTGTAATCTTTAGGGTAAGGGTATGTAAATCACCTTTCCCTTGATTTAAGGGAGGAGACTGATTGGAGTAATGTCTTTGTGTAAGATTTAGATTAGGTAGGCAACATGCCTTCTTCTTTCTTGTTAGATGTTTGCTGCAACCATCATTCCTATCTCTTTTCCCTTTCTCTTCTCATATATACCTGAACTCACTCTTGTACAAACATACATGAAATATACATTGAAACTTTAAACCAGAAAATCTACATGGTATCAGAGCAGGTTTTGTAACCTGCCTCTGGCCATGTTTTCCGCTGCATCTTTCCTTCAATCTTAAGTCATGGCTGAAGAAGATTCAGTAAACATAGAGGGTGACATTTTGCATACCTCTGCTTCCAATAAGTTTGCCCATCTACCTCGTCATATAGCATATTGGGAACCCTTTAATTTGAACCCATAACTCATGGTACGAAAGATTTACGTGTGCAGGATGAGTGATATCGTTCGCCTTCTCCATGACCAACAATGATTGCTTATTGTATAACCACGGACCACCCCTCTAAATCATGGTCATTTCTTGTGGTGTGTTGAAGCCAGATGCAAATCTATCATTCTCCAATTTAAGTATGAGATCGTTTTCCTTAGGCCTCCACAAACTCCTCATCTGTCGCTTGAAGTTTTCTTTATTTTGGGGTTTTCTCGTCAGCACCTCCCCCACTAAGAAAATTTTTGACGATTTTAAAAACAACATCTCCACTTTATCAACTACTATAATCTATTGTTCATCTTCCATTATCGCCAACTTTCCGGAGAACCGTGATACCATATCCTCCATCATAGAAAAGCCTTTCCCTATCCACGTCCAGCCCCACACCTAGACCTGCCCATACCATGTTGAGAGTTGGAGCACCCTCTCCCACACCATGAAAGAAGAACAAACCCCCTCGGAGTCCACTGTCACCACGGAACGACTATTATAGCCTTTGCTTGGACATTTTGACTTGGTGCTGCAATACACAGGTGTGTTGAAAACTTTCCCAAATCCTTTATGCTTACACAATTATACATGTGTGTGTACAACTTTATACATGCATCTATGGAAATACATACGTTGGAGCCTAGTTTTTGCTTTAGATTTATATGCTGGTTGTCAGATTCTAGCTATGTGAAGTTTACGTCTTTAATTTTAATTTTTTATGAAAGTAGCTCATGTTTGCTTACCCGGCGGTGGTTGTTCTGATTTAGTGGTTAAAAATGGAAATTTCACTCGTAGTAAGGGATTAATTGAGGTTCATGCATGCATCATTGGTGTAAAATTGAGAGATGGAATAATATATGTGTGTAAAGTCCTTTCTTTCGGTTTTTTATTGCATTGTTTAGATGGTGAATTACGTGGAAAATGGGGGGAAGAGAGAGGTACAATTTATTTAATTTGAGCAAAACAATGGCATTTAAGCTTAGTTGGTTAGTGAGGATTAGAGTCAATAAGGCGCCATCTGTCTTTATCTAAAATCTGAATTCATTGAATGATGAATGAGGTCGTAGTGTGAGAGAAATTGAGAAAGTAAAGAAAAGATGGAAGATGAATCTACAAATATATGCCAAACAATAATGATAGATCAATTCATCTATGTTGGTTTATTAAACTTGGTAAAGCAAGCCTTTTGTTTTAATTGGGATATAGTTTGGTACTTTCATACTGTTTATGCACAAAATCAGTGAGGACTTTGGTACAACAAAAAGTGTTAAGTTTGTGACCTTAGCTAGATTGTTCCGGTCATTAGTATGGATAAGTATGTAAATGGATAGAGACAGGGAAGCAAACACAAGATGTACGTGGTTCACCCAGATTGGCTACGTCCACGGAGTATAGGAGTTCTCATTAATTGTGATGGGTTTACACAAGGACATAGGTTCAAACTCTCCTTTAGTGAGTACTAGTGAATGATTTAGTACAAATAGCATTAGGAAATATTGTGGGAGAATGATCTCCTTTTATAGAAGAGAGTTTCTAGCTTTGTTCTGACATTGACACGTGTCGTGTTGTGATTGGCTTCCGATGATGACACGTGTCGCGCTATGATTGACTTCTGATGTCGACACGTGTCGTGCTGTGATTGGCCTTCTGGTTGGAGAGAAACTCTTATGGGTCCTTGACGGTATAACGTTGACTGGTGCTCGGTAGTTTCAGGATTGGTCAAGTATGGTACAAACAATGCTCCCCTAAGTTCCTGAGTGAGGGAAGCTCCTCGGTTGGGGACTTGCAAGATTCAAGCCGCTGAGTAATCATGAAACTTCTAAGTACTAAAGTGTGGTATCGTCTTCACTTGCCTTATCTGTCTCATAGGTAGATGTGGCATATTCTCTGGAAGTACTTTTCCTCTATCCAGGGGTTATATCTTTAACCGGTGGAGATGCACAAGGTAATGTATCAATTTCACTTGAAGCTTACTTGTAGTTTCAAGCTTGGTCAAGTGCGATACAAACCATGTAGTAGGAATGCCCCATGTCACTGAGCTAGGAGATCTGTCGAAAGAGGTGACAGACAAGGTAAGCAATCAGAGCTCCAAGTAATCAGTCTCAGATTAGAAGTTTGATTTCTAGTTCCGGCTGATTGTTTTCATTCTCCCTATCTTGCAGGCAGCACGAAGGTTAAAGAGAAGAAAAAAGAGAAGAGATGATATAAGATATTTTTGTTTTTGAAGAAGTAACTTTCCACAGGCTTATTCTTGAACTGGGCTGAAGGATCAAGAGTTCGTTCGACCTTGATGATATGAGATACTTTTGCTGTTGACAAAGTAGTGGATGTGTTATGGCAAGACTTTACTCTTTGGCGACATTGCTAGCGAAAGGTTGTTAAAGTTTCTTGAGCTCTTCGGATAGGGTAGCGATGCCGAGCTTGGATTTAACTTAGGCTCATCCGTCTGGATTATGTGGTTCTGCAGGGAGGGCGTCGTGCTATAGTGATCTGTTTTAGCTCATCGTTGAACCTTCTGCTTCAATATTTTGGATCGCAGAAATGGTGCACAACCTTTGCATTTGAATGGTCCTTCAGAGCACTACTTCTCAGTGACTCATCCATGCTTGGCAGCTTCAGTGTAAAGAGTCAATATTGTATTAACTGTTCTGAAGAATTTTCCAAAAGGATTCGTGACCTTAACAACAATTGAGGATGAGTACTCGAGAGCAATGCTAGGTGAGCAACCAGGTAAAGGTTCCGGGCAATCAGTTCCAGATCGGAAGTTTGATTTTAGGTTCCGACTGATTGCTTTCTTTTTCATTGTCTTGCAGGTAAGAGCAAAGGCAAAGGAAAAGACAGGAAAAAAGCATGATATGAGATACTCTTGCTTTTAACCCTGATGATATGAGATACTCTTGCTCTGGTGTGACTTGTTTGCAGAGGCATTATCGAGGGAAAGGAAGCTGAGTATTTCGAGAGGCTTCGTTGGGAGTGCCCTCTCAGATATGAGGAATGGTTGAGCATTTTTGCAGGTTTGCCTGTCCGTGGAGGGGAAAGGTAGACATATATAGGAGTTTCCCCAACAACAAGTAGTAATGCTATTCATTTACCCTTCTTGGTCATAGCAATGTAGTGAGAACTGCAAGTTTCATGTGTTTTAACTTTGTCAGAGCATTTTGAAAAAGTGGTATGTGGTCTGTGGTATCTGGAAAGCTAATGTTGCGTGTGAAGATTGCAAATAAATTTTATCCAAGGAAATCTGGGT